TCAGGTCATGACCTAACGGTTCATGGGACTGAGCCCCATGTTGGGTACTAACGCTGACAGAGTGGAGCCTGTGTGGGATTCTTTCTCTCTGCACCTCCCTTGCTTGCGTGCACAAGTGCGCGCTGTCTCTCTCTCTCTCTCTCAATAAATGAATGAATGAATGAAATATATGGAAGATATGGACATAGCACAAAATGAATAAAAATACAGGAACATGGACTATACTTGCATATTGTGCTTTAAGAAATAAGTTGAGGGGCACCTGGGTGGCGCAGTCGGTTAAGCGTCCGACTTCAGCCAGGTCACGATCTCACGGTCCGTGAGTTCGAGCCCCGCGTCGGGCTCTGGGCTGATGGCTCAGAGCCTGGAGCCTACTTCCAATTCTGTGTCTCCCTCTCTCTCTGCCCCTCCCCCGTTCATGCTCTGTCTCTCTCTGTCCCAAAAAATAAATAAACATTGAAAAAAAAAAAATTAAAAAAAAAAAAAAAAGAAGTAAGTTGACTAAGCACGATAACAAAAAGAGGAGCAATCATGTCTGCATAACCTGAAAGGAGGCTAGCTGGAGGTGAAAAGAACAGATGTTTTCAAAAGACATTTTATCTATCTGCCATTTAACTTCAAAACAGTAAAGTTACCAAATAACTATAGCACTATTTTAAGGTTGGAGTGGTGTCCATCTGCCAGCCATAGAGGAGTGGGTCCCTCTCAGCCGTGTTCATGTTAGTCTTTTTAGAAATGACTGCAGGAGACAGCAGATATTGGATATTCAAGGGTCATCTGTTGGATGGACACAGTACGCTTCTTATACTGTGTACCACAACCAATTTACCAGTAAATGCTACTGAAAGAAGAGGGGAAGGAGGAGGAAAGAGACTGATTTCCAGCCAGGATGGCATAAGGGACTACACATCCAGACTGGACTAGAGAGACCAGACCGTTCCTAAGGTAAACAACCTCTTGGGGTTGTTGGGGCTTAACTATAAGATAAACTATAAAGGGATGGAGGCAGTTAACTTTTCTTTAGAACTCCCACACTGGGGTTTCTTTTTATTCTATGTAATTCTTGTCATGTGTACACTTCACAAAACCCTCTCACATTTTAATCTTTATTTTCCAGTTCTGGAGATTCACCAGATGGTTATGTGTCTAGCACTTCAAAATGAGTATTAAGTATAATATTGTTATAACATGATTTTTTAAAAAATACAGATAAATACGTAAAGATATAGCTGATCCTGATCCCCCTTCTCCCAGACTGCTACATTTGTGCCATTCAAAACAAGACTGAATTTTAAGAGTACATTTGAAAAACAGAGTTAAGCCAGCCTGCATATTGCTACTCAAGCAAACAAAAGTATATTCACTACAGGAACGATTCTGATACCCCTTCTAAGATTACCACTGTAAATTCTAACCTGTATATCTAATTCTATTAAAATATTCAAATGCTGAACTTACATAATTATTTTATATTAAGATTCATGCCTGTATTGAACTGTACAAATGTAACAACAAACATCAAAGCTTCTTCTATGAAAAGCTACTTTTCACTTAAAACTTTAGATTTCAAACCGAATGAACTTAAAACTACACGCCATGCAATTACTGACAATTCCTGAATGAATTGCTAGTCAAAATTCTGCCACAATTACATCAGAAGTCCATGTCATACAACCAACATGCCAGGTAAAAAATCACCTAACTGATTCTTGACAGAACTGTAATGTTTCATTTCTATAAAAGAATATCAGTAATCAGTGAGAAAATCTGGCTCATTTTTTAAATAAAAACAAAAACCAGTTTGGTTTGGTTCATACCTAAAAAGTTTATAACTTTAAGAAACACAACATATTGGCCCTAAACTAGCTTAGCTGCAGGTTACAGATGAAAGCATTGGTAATTATGCGCAACTTAAACCTAAATTTTAATTATTCTGGGAAAAGTTAGAAGCATCTGAAAAGATGTAAGACAGCCTGTTTGAGGAGAATGATAAAAGATTGGCTCCCCTTTCTCTTCCTTTCTATATCCTCTATAAAAAATTCTATTTTAAATTCTTTTTCCTAAGGAAGGGTCACCTGAAAGCAAATATGGGGAGGCTGTAAAAGACCAAAGGAGGCAGAATAAAGGAGAAATAGGAAACAACAACACGCCCAAACTTTTAGCAAAGCTCATTAGCAATTTTGTACTAATTAAATGTAATAGCCTGTTTTCAGAAACAGAAAAAAAAAAAAAAAAAAACCAATAATCATTCTACCACACAACCTGTACTGATTATCTCCTCCTGAGTGACTACTTAATTATTTGAGCAACGTAGAGTGTGAGAAAATGGAATATATAAGATTTTCCTCCTTTTAGGGTTATCCCATGGATGGGTTATTCAGAAATGAAAATATACCTAAAGTGATAGAAGTTTCTGTGAAATACAGGGAAATAACTGCCTTCCATTTAATGAATATATGAAGTGACTGCGATGGAGTCCTAAATCAACCATTTCCTTTGATATTCACGTAGGTTCTAGATCATTCAAACAAACTATAACAGTCTTCTGAATGACATTCTAGCCTCTTGTAAAGAACAGTTTTGACTCCAGGCTCCTCAAGTGCTTTTTAACCCATTCTTGAAAAGCTTTTATAACAACTATACATCATGGTCACTAAGACCAATTGTTTTCTGGCTTAAAACAATAAAACACTGAATTGCTTAGGCACTGTGGATTAAGCTAGTTTTAATTACTAAAAGATCCAAAAGGGGACCATCTGACAAGATTTGACTAAATAGTAATAGAATTCCTTTTCTAGTTCTTTAAATGTGCAATATAAAAACTAAAACTCGGCAACACATATTACTATACAGGAATTAATTTTTCCAAAATATTACGTACTCTAAACGTGTAAAGGCTGACACTACGTCTTACTTATTTTGTATGTTCTTTTTGTCAGGGGTGTAGCAGATCATATACACAATACATTTTAATAAGAGCATACCAGAGTGATTTATCCTTTCATCCAAAAAGTTTGACCACTCTTGCTTAGTATCAGGAAATACACTGGTGAATAAAACACTGTCCCTCCTCTCATGGAACTAAAGGAGGACACAGACAATAAATGAGACGAACATATAATTACAAATTGTGTTAGTTATAAAGAAAGCATTGAATGGGGTAAGGTGGATTAAAAAAAAAAGCTAACTGGGAACAGGTAAGGTCACTGTGAGAAGGCAACATTAAGCCCAGACTTAAGGGGATAAGGAACCAGCCTCAGAAAACACATACCGAGGAGTAGGAAAGAGCTGAAAGGCCTTGAAGCAGGAAGAAACAGCATATCTAAGAACAGAAGCACCTGGTGTGGCTATGTAACAGCATGACAGGGGCCTTGCTGGCCAGGTCAAGGAGTTTGGATTTTCTTCCCACGTAACAGGAAGACACTGCAGTATTAAATAAAAGGCTGACACAACTGCATTAATATTTTGAAAATACCATCATGATTACTATAGAAATATACCAGATGAAAGAATGGTAAAAGAGGAGAATCCTCTTTTAAAAATGGAGAATCCAGTTAGGAAGCTATGGTAATAGGCTAGGCTAGAAATGATGGTGACCTGGGCAAGACAGTGGCAGCAATGATATAACAACAGTCAGGTAAGAGGTATCTTTGTGGAAAGAAATGACAGGCTTATTCAGGATTGAGTATTAGGAATGAAGGAAGAGGATTTCCTGATTTCTGATTTAGGCAATAAGGTAAAACAGTGCCATTTTTTATGTTGAAGATAGGGAAGGAACAGATGGAGGAAGTAGGAGATCAATCAACAGTTCTGCTTTGGACATTTAAAATGTAAAGATGTCTATGGAGATATCCAAGCAGAAATGTCAAGCAGGAGGTTAAACAAAATTGGGAATAGGGAATATATTAATGCTAGAAAAATAGAGAATACTGACACTATGGGAATGGATTAGAACAGATCACCTAATTTAGTAATTTTCAAATTTGGTGTGTATACACCCCACAGAGATTCTAATTATATGCCTGGGGAGAGGCATAGAAACCCGCATTTCTTAAGTCTATGAGCAATTTTGAAGCAGCTGACTCTCATACTACATTCTGAGGCGCACTGATTTATAGACAGAAGAAAAATCCAGAACTGAGAATTAGGGAATTCTAAATTTAAATTCCAAATTCACCTTTGGTGAAGGAAAAGGAGTCTGCAAAGGATACTGAATAGAAACAAACAGAAAAGAAAAACTGGACGGTAGGGTACTCCAGAATTCAAATAAAAGGAAGCAGTAACTGTTGAATATGGCTGAGAATAGAGAGAAAAATGATGAATAGAATAGTAAGATCATTGGTCATCTTGATAGGAGGGGACAGAAACTATCCAGAGTACTTTATGGAATAAATTGGAAATGAGAAACATGATGACCACTATTAAGAAATTCTGGCTCGGGGTGCCTGGGTGGCTCAGTCGGTTAAGCGTCAGACTTTGGCTCAGGTCATAATCTCATGGTTCATGGGTTAGAGCCCCGCGTCGGGCTCTGTGCTGATAGCTCAGAGCCTGGAGCCTGCTTCGGATTCTGTCTTCCTCTCTCTCTGCCCCTCCCCTGCTCGCACTCTGTCTCTTTCTGTCTCTCAAAAATAATAAACGTTAAATTTTTTTAAAAATTCTGGCTCTGAAAGGGTGTGAGTAAAAGGTCAGTAACTGGGAGAGGACAGAGGTATGTAAGAGGAAATTCAGCATACCTTTATAGCCTATTTTTGACCAGATAACTGTGATGTTTTACTCAAGTAATTCTATTCCACATAATAGCTATTCCTTTTTAAAAAAAATGCCTTTCATTTCAAACTTTAAATATCTCACCTACAACCACATAGAATTTTTCACTATCAATTATATGTAACACCACTCTTCCCCAAAAACAAAGGTAGAGAATGAAAATTTCAATTGTTTCCTCTATCTGCAAAAAAAGCCGTTAACTACTTCATCCTCTAGCTCTTACTGTTATTTACCCTTGCAAGATCCTCTATTTCAGAACTGAAGTTTGTTTCTCCTTCCATCATTTCTTCCTCTTCTAATGTTCGTTCATCATCAAAATCATGAACCAGCATGTCAGCTGATGGATCAAATTCATGGTCATCTGACGTTGCTGAACCTCCTGGTAAAGAATATTTTAAAAAGTTTGGTAAACCAAATGAAGTGTTATCTTATTAATATTCACTTAATGTGTATGTTATTTGAAGTTGGATACAGGTCAAACAAAAGTATCAGGGAAAAGCTATGCACATCGAGTACTAGTTTTCTAAAATTCTTACCCTTACTCATCACTCTGTCCCTGTAAAAAATACTCTTCTCTAAGGGATTATTTTTTGTCCTGTTTCACCTCTATATGTTCACAGTTAAAATTGTAACTGGTGGGGTGGGAGAAGTATAGCTTTAAAAAAAGTGTGTACAGCTCTTAAAAAGATTACTGTCATCTAAACACAAAATTTCAGTTGTAAAGAATAATGGATCACATCAAGTAAGAATGGTAATTCATGTGGGAAATACCACAATTCTTAATCATCTGACTGATATTTAATAGACCCAATGAGTATGAGTCCTTATGGCCCATGAGAATACAGTCATGGGAGATATACAGTCATCTGAATACACAGTGTAATGAAAATACAGCTACATTCAAGTATTATTCTATTAGCACTTCCGCGGAAATATATTTCAACATGTAAGTAGCCGTCCTTAATTTATTTAGTTGATTTTGGTCTGAAATAATTCAGATAGAGAATATAAAACTGAAATTTATTAAAATGGCATACAGAACTCTTATGAACTCATTAAAAATAATCTAATAGCTAACTGATGTGTAAGCTAATCTATTTTTAGCCTGCTGGCTGGGGAATACTGCTGTACTCAATAGGGTCAAGCCTGTAATAGTAGATTGCAAATGCTCAGCATATACATTCTATAAACTACCCCACAATTGGCTATTGCCAAACCTGGACTTAAGTTTACAAATTCATTTTTTTTATGAATAAACGAGTTAACATTTAAAAAATCAATCAGCAATTTCTTTTATCAATTTAAACTGATAAAAAGTTGTATTACTTAATAATAAAGATTAAAACCATTAACTAGTAATATATTACATCAGTATGCTCTTCCTTCAGTCCAGTAAGAGAACCAGTAAGTAAAACAAAGCGTTAGAAGTTGACTTCTTGAGGGGCGCCTGGGTGGCTCGGTCGGTTAAGCGTCCGACTTCGGCTCAGGTCATGATCTCACGGTCTGTGAGTTCGAGCCCCGCGTCGGGCTCTGTGCTGACAGCTCAGAGCCTGGAGCCTGTTTCAGATTCTGTGTCTCCCTCTCTCTCTCTGCCCCTCCCCTGTTCATGCTCTGTCTCTCTCTGTCTCAAAAATAAATAAATGTTAAAAAAAATTAAAAAAAAAAAAGAGGGTGACTTCTTGAAAAACAGACTATTAGGGATAAGGGGACACTCAAGGTTCAGGGTTCTTGTCATCTCCCTCAATTTTCAGTGTAAATACCATATTCTGAGTGCTTACTGTGTGCCAAATACTATGGCTCAAGCACTTCACATACACTGTATCTCATTTAATCTTCAAACCCAAACTTGAACAAAACCAAAACTTGAGGCTGAGTTTAAGCAGCACGTTTAAACTCACAGAGCCAGTAGGCGGCAAGGACGGAATCTGAATCATGGGTCTGCTAATTCAGTGCCTGTGCTTTTACTGCATTCTAAGCTTCCTGCAAGCCACAGCCTCAGAGACATTAAGTATCCTGCCTCAAAGAATACTTGAAGAGAACCTATTTTTACTAAGATGACTGAACTGCAAGCCAGATCAGGTGGTGAAGCACTTAGAAGTCATCCTGCTCTTTGACGAACATAATACTAATATTAAATATAAAATAACTATTATTTCTAAATCAGGAATCACCTTATAGTACAAATTAAGTTAACAAACTATCAAAGTTTTAGAATGATTTACAAAATAAAAACATTTAGAAAAGTGTATTAATTTCTTTGGATAATTAAGAAAAGCATGGCATAGTTTTAATACAGCACCTTGGTACTGGCTGAGGGACTAGACACAAAAGTTCCATGAGAAAACAATTCGAGAGCCACTAATTTAGTTGTAGCTTTTTACTTAATAACAAAGGTTAATAAGACCATTAACTAGTAATATATTACATCAGTATGCTCTTCCTTCAGTCCAGTGAGAGAACCAGTAAGTAAAACAAAGCGTTAGAAGTTGACTTCTTGAAAAACAGGCTATTAGGGATAAGTCCCTAATAGTCCCAATCATTATTCCTTCTTTTTGAGTTTTTAATGAAAAAACATTCCCAAAACTTGTCAGTTCACACAGCAACCTTCTAGGACACTTAGTCAATAATCATGTATTCCTACAAATCATGCTGTACTTTTCTTCTCCTTTGTAGGCAGGAAGATCCTAGAACAACCTCACACCACAACTTTGTACACTATTATCCTAATTCCTATTGAGTGCAAATATTGTAAAAAATAATTATGCTTAATTCCTAACTACGTATACTCTTTCACCAACTAAAACAAAAACAAAACAAACTCACATGAGTACACAGCACCAAGCTGAGTGCTATATTACTTACCTGAAGTCTCCCATTTTTTGTCATTACTTCCAAAGCCATTTATATTTAAAGCCTTGCCACTTTACCCTCTCATTACAAGAAATAACAAAGTGTGGGTGAACCTTTTTCCCCTTCTCACTCCAATCCTCTCCATATATATACCACACTGTTTTCTAACTTTCAATTTCACTTTTCTTGCCTTAATCTGACTTCTTGGTTTTACTTGACTTATTTTTGCCTTGTTGAGACCAATTAACCATTCTTTTCCTAGCCTACTAGGCTGTCTCCTTGAGGTAAAAATCCCCAAAATAAATTATTAGGGGCAGGGAGTCTGGTGCTTTGTGTAAATAAATATTTTGCTTCAGAGTTAAGGCAAGTATCAGCTTGGTAATAAAATTGTACCCTAATACAAAATTACTAAGGTATCTTACATCTTTTCAAAGATTCAAAAGATAAATTAAACATATCATGTGCATTCATTTAATAATTTTATTTCCTTCTCTTCCCTAAATCCCTACATCTAATGGCTACTAGTCTTACAGGTAAAGTCTTGTATTTTACCTGTACAGGTTTACACTGGGAAAGTCCAGAGACAAATTACTGAGCCTGGGTCATGTGACTCTTATTACTAATATCAATTCCAAAGTACAGATGTTACAAAGGACACAGCCTCTTACCAGTGGACCAAAAATTTTTTTACATAAAGCCTCTATTCCTAATTTTTTCCCACCAACTTTTGTTAACTGCCTACAATTAGTATTGTAAGGACAATAAATATTCCCTTGGGCAGAAACCTGATATTACAAACACTATCTACTTCAAAAGATCTTCCTTAGCCCGAAACCAAAAAAAATCAATCTATTTGTATAAGCATTCAGCAAGTAGTAAAGGCCATCGAAAACATTGTATTCTTCAAGTTCCGCTATTCTTGCAGTTCAGCCTAGGCCAATTCAAATGCAATGGAAACTGAGAAAGCCATTAGTATCACCTTTGAAGTAATTACTTTTTTTGTGCCTATGTATTACTTGATGAATTTCTCAAAAATTCATTGAAAAATATCTAAAACTCAGTCTATTTGCAATGTGACAACATGAACAGAAACAACCAGAACCCACTTTTTCGATGAAAAAGATGTCTGTGTTTGAAAGAAAAACAATATTGGGTACAATTCCATGTCCCAAAAAGGATACAAATAATCTGCTATTTATGAGGTCAGATTACTTCCAACCTCAACCATGCAGAACATATTTATAAACTAGTAAGTTTAAAAAAATCCTTGAGTTTCAGAAATGTCACAACGCCTAATATACTTTACTTCCAAGCCTATTAGAAAGAATAAGACATTTGTAGCTAAATAAACACACAAAAAACTCACAGTCAACTGAGCACACTAGTCATTTGGAAGGGATCTGGAGGTATCCTAATCCAACTCTTACTTCATACATCATACTACACAGAATACAACTATTTGTGTTCATGAAAAGAATCCTAAACCATTAAAAAAGGCATATATTAAGCATTTTTACAAACATTCTTTCTAAAATTTACAACATAGAAAGATTGCTTTAATAATCTGGAAAATTCAGTAATGTATCATACCTAAATATTCAATATATATATGATGTTTTCAAATAAAACATTACCCTGCCTCTGAGAACTCCCTTCCTGACTCTTTAACTATCTCGCACTGTTCCTTACACGAACTCCACTGTAGAAGACAGTCCTCTCTCTTGGTGAAGTTTCTGGACACCAAGGCAGACTGGGCTCTTTCCTGACTGCTATTTGGCTCCAACCAATTGTTGCTATAAAGGAATGCTGTACCCAGTGGTGCCAGAACCTCTGACTAATCATGAGAAGCCTAAATTCAGATTTTATATAAAATATTCTAGGTTTTTAAAATCACTAGAGTGGCCAAACAAAAAAACATTTGTGGCCCAGATATAGGTCAAAGATCACATGTTTGCGAGGCGCCTGGGTGGCTCAGTAGGTTAAGCATCCAACTTTGGTTCAGGTCATGATCTCGCCATTCTGGAGTTTGACCCCCATGTCGGGCTCTGTGCTGACAGCTCAGACCCTGGAGCCTGTTTCAGATTCTGTGTCTGCCTCTTTCTCTATGCCCCTTCCCTGCTCAGACTCTGTCTCTCGCTCTCTCAAAAATAACAAACATTAGAAAGAAAAGAATTTAAAAGATCACGTTTGCAACCTCTATATGGTCTGTGGGTAAAATCGGATCCTACTCAATCTAAACATAACCTCCTTAATTTATAACATTGAATATTCATTTTTGAATGTTCTGCTTCTTTTTTTCTCCCTCACTAAATGCATTTTTTTTCTCAAAAACTTTGAGCTTCCTATACAAGCAAATATTTCTAAGTTAGTGACTCCTTTTGAAAAAACACACTTCATATTTACTTGAAATCGAATATCAATTAAAACCTATAAGAAATACACGTAGTAATTCATAAAAAAAGTGAACCTACAAGTAGTCATGAGGTTGAACTCACAGCAGCCTCACCTGTACTTTCATGGGCAGTCAAATATTTCATCCATTTCTTTTTCCCCAGAGAAAAGAAGCATTCAGAAGAAAAGCAAGTCAGATGACAGTCTAACTCCTCTAGGCTTTTTATAATAGGACAAATGTTAGTCAAACAGAAATTATAGAAAATACAGAAAATACTTACCTGGACTTGAAGACTCAACAGATGGCTGAGGAGGGGGAGAAAAGAAGAAATATTAGCATCTTTGTATGGTAAATCTGTGCAAAATTTACAGGAATTACTCAAGGACCAGTTTGACATCAAAGATCACAGTTAAGTTTTTACATCTGAATTATCTAAGACAAATTAAAACCTTCTACATAATCCTTTCTCTGACATTATATTTAAACATATAAAAATCCCAAACACTCCTGAATCTAGAAATGAAGACAATAATATGAAATTGATTCAGATTTTAAAGGCAAATATGGATCTCATAACATATGCAGCTTAAGAGATCTGATTTTAGATATTAGAACTTTCTGAAATATTTTCTCTTATCAATAAAGGGGAAATTACACACAAGATTCACTAACAAGCTGGCCTCTGGCTTAAAATACGTGAAAGAAGGGAGGCGAAAACACTTCAAGACATTAATTTTAAATAAAAATTACGTTGTATAAAGTAGAAGGAAAAAGTAAAATGTTATTAAGCACCAAATAGTACATTAGGCTAACTTTACAACAAAAAACATATTTTTAAATTATCACAGAATTAGTAACCTTTGAGCTAAAGTCTAGAAAGGTTAAGGTCTCTGATGAAAAAATCAAAAACATTCCCAATTACAACATGCTGCTTCTACTGTAGCCTTCTACCCCTCATAAATTTAACTATAAGCATTTAGAAAATTTAAAGATAACACCGTTAGCAACTTATTTTGGTAATACGACCACTTGACGGTTTGAGGCTATTATTTTATCTAAATTCAGTTAACTCAAAATTATAAACAAGTCATATACAAACATAAACTTCTGTAAATATATAACAAAAACTCAAGATGCTTCAAATGGCATATGCTTCATAGTTAAAACCTTTCCTATTCATTCAGAGCTATTTCATGCCCATTAGAAGTCAGGCACGCTAGAAGCCCAAAATTATTAGCAAGGATAAGTTATTCCAGCACAGACAGTCCCTGACAATTATGGCTCAACTTACGATTTTTCAACTTTATGATAGTGCAAAAGGAATACCCGTTTAGTAGAAACCGAAGTTTGAATTCTGATCTTTTCCTGGGCTACCAACACGTGGTATGATACTATCTTGTGATACTGGGCAGTGGCAGCTAGTTGCAGCTCCCAGTCAGGCATGCGATCACGAGGGCAAACAACCAATACACTTATAACCATTGTGTATCCATACAACCTTTCTGTTGTTCACTTTCAGTCTAGTGGTCAATGAAGTACATGAGATATTCAATACATTGTTATAAAATAGGCTTTGTGTTAGACAATTCTGCCCAACTGTAGGCTAATGTAAGTGTTCTAACCATGTTTGAGGTAGGCTAGCCTAAGCTATGATGTTCATTCAGTAGGTTAAGTATATTAAATGCATTTTTGACTTAATATTTTCAACTTATGATAGGTTTATCAGGACATAACCCCATCATAAGGAAGATGTCTATTTTCCTTCTTTCTGGTAACTAATGCGGAAGGGAGCGGAGAAGAACAAAATAAAATGAGGAAAGTGACGAATTTTTCAAAAGCTAGGCATCTAAGACAAATTTCTTTTAAGGTGTTAAAATTCTATTTTGAAACTGTCCATAGTATGCTATTGTATTAAGTATGACATTCTCTCTTGTACATGGTGACTTAGGTTCTTTTGAAGCACACTTCCCAAGGGTCCTATTTTTTTTCCCTTTTAATTCTTAAAATGGCTCTTGACTATAGCATCAACTTACTTTAATAAAAGACTGACAGTAGTCAGTATTATATATTTTCAAGTGTCACACCACTACCCTTACTTAAAAGTTGCTCTGCCACACAGAGTCAAACCAGTGCTGCTTATTAATTCCATTCCTCTAACAGGAAGCTGAAAAGCAGGGTGAGAGACTAATGTAACTATAAAAAGGGTTTCTAGCTTGCTTAACATCTTATGGGCAGAGTAACACACTTCTAAGCTCAAAACAGATATAACCACCACACAAATTATTACACAGCAAATCAATATTTTAAAATATTAATCTACTTTTATGTCATGCAGTTATGCTTTGTTTCCCAAGTTTAAGCACAATTTCTGTCCAAGGCTACGGCAACGATGACTGTCTTTATCTGGTCCCAGGTTTGCCACTCACAAAGTAGCCTCACAGTGCTGTTTTTCCTTTTTAGTAAACTTCTGAAAATATTGCAGGGCAGAAACAAGAAAATCAGCATTTCTTTCAAATTAGGAGCTTAAGAGAAATGGCTCTTTGAGCATTTAGTTCTTTTTGAACACTCTAATAATTACTCCATTTAACAGTCTTCTGATAAAAAGGGGTTTCTGATTAAAAATGTCATTCTTCTTCTGAATAAAAGGTACATTTTCACAGATGTTAGGTATTGGCAATAACAAAGACACTGAGTTGTGAATGGCGTTTGCAGATTTTAAAAGGCCTCAAAAAGCACTAACTGCCAATACCATACTGATTGTTGTGTTGTATTGGTAAAGTTATCTATCACTTTAAAGTTCTGAAAAAGGTCCCAAATATTTTCCGTTAATTAAGATACCAAATATTCAGAGGACTGGTATTATATGTACGGTTAGCTGGCAGAAAGGAGAACACCCAGTATTCAAAGACAGCATTAATGACCATTTTACATCAGAAATACTGGAATGTTTCAAGAACTGTAATTTGACTGATGTGTACCTAGGTTAGGATAGGGAAGGGGAAGTAGGGAGATATGCCTCTAGACATACATTTTAGTATTCCATGTTCAAAATATAATTCCACTGTTTCCATTTGGGCTGGGTGAGAGTGAGATATTTCTTATAAGTTTATTATACTCAATTAATTTAAAAACTGACCTTTTAGAAAACTGGCATTTGAAAATTTTATACTATACATTATTTTTGTCCCAACTGCAGGCAAAAAAATTATTTTTCAAAGTAAAAGTTCACTATCATAATACAGGAAATTTAAGTACAGAATGTGAGCATTTTTTTATTCAGGTATTTAGAAGAGCAGAACCAGCTTACATTTATTTAGTACTACATATTCTCAAATGCATAAAGTTACTTGATCATAACTACATAACTGGCAATAATACCCACTCTGCCAACATCATTTTATAGATTAGCAAACCCAGGGAGATAATGTGACTTGATTCATGGTAAGTGGTGAAGGTGGAACTGAAGTCTACAACCTGAATATTTCTATACCTTCCAAGGGAACAACTATATTAAAAATCTTTTCTCTTTACCTCTTTCCTTCCTCCCCCTTACTTTCTTTCTTTTTTGAATGTTTTTCATCTGTTCAAAGTATATTTAAAATGTGACTGCAAGTTATCATCTGTCATGTCAGACTATTACCTATGTCTATTTAGGAAGTGGTATCTTTAACAATATCTTCCAGAAAAACCTGAGACATCTACCATTAATGATGCACAAATTAGTACCTGTTTAAAACTAGAGCTGTAAAACAGGTATTCATTTGTAACTTTTTTTTGTATTTTTAGAAAAGGCACAAACTAGAAAATGCAAATAGTAAAGAAAATTTTTCATTAGAAGTGAAAATGTATTTATGATGCACTCATACATCATTGGTAGAAAAATACAAGTTGGTTTAACCCTTCTAGTAATCATTTTGCTAATATGAAATTATCCTACTGATAAGCCTAAGAAAGCATACCAAGATACATGTTTAACAGTCGTTACCATAAAGTGGTTCATAGCAAAAAGTTGGGAAAAAATTTTCAAGTCTATCATTTAACTAGTTAGAAATGAAATACTGTTCTTCCAAGCAACAAAACACTATTAATCCATTAAAAAGAGAGAAGTCTGTTTGTGGTGAATGAGGAAAAAAAATGTAAAAAACATTTATTTATTTATTCATACATATATTAGGAGTTAAAAGGGGGTAACTTGGGCTGGAATATGACATTTTTTTTTTTCTCCAAAAGTACACACAAAACCCTGTAACAATAGTTATCTCTAGGGAATGGGTTGGGGAGAGAAAGTCTTTTTCATTTTATACCCTTCTATACTATTGGAATTTTCTAACCACTTGTTAGTATTACTGGTTTTTTTTTTTTTTTTTTTTTTTTAAGAAAGTCAGTGGAGATTATCTTAGATTCATAGACAGTTTTCATTTCCTTCTCTACTTGGGTGCAATATTATTGCTAGCCACTTTTTTTTTTTTTTTTTTTAACAAATGTATCATTTAGAGAAATAACCTAGTTTTCTTTTAGGTGCATACATAATTATCTGAGACAGGAACCATAACTAGACAGTCACACAGAGTATGAGTAGGCTAAATCATATTAAAAAATGAACAGCTTACTTTTATATCTTCACCACATATATGATTTAGTTGATCAAGTTGCTAATACTTGTAACAAATATTAAATGCCTCAGATATCTTCAAATGTGTCTCTAGAACACAGTAATCTAGAATATAACCATTAAAAAAAAAAAAGGTAAAAATGAAGTAATCAGATTCATATATTCCAGGCAATCAAAAGCATATTTTCAAATAAACATAACTGCCTGAACTAATTTCTCCCCTCAAACTAATTCCACCACCATTTCTTTGTTATCATCACCTACCTAACAATATAGACGCTGCTAACTAAATCAGAGGTTCTCAAGTGATGGGGATAGAAGCCAGGAAGGAGTTAGATGCCCCTCCTCCAGGTGGAGAAAGCAGGGGAACTGTGCTCACCATTTCTCTTCCTCCATACAAAACTAAGTCACTTAACTTTCCCCTGAAGAATTTGGGGGCATAAAAAAGATTAAGAAAGTCGTGTTGATAAAACTAGCAAATTGACTACAGTAGTAATAACTCAGAGGATGAATTGCTATTATTAAGCACTAGGAATTCAGAAGCCTAGGTTCCACTCTTAATTGTGCCACAGCCTAACTGCACAACTTAGGACAAATTGCATCAACTCTGTTCAGTTTCAATTTCTCTAAGTAAGATTTAGATATCTTCTAGTTCAATTTCCTTTGAGATCTAAGTTCTTTACTTTTATTATA